GCTCGGCCGGCCACGCTGGTGCCCACGCCCGTGTCCTCGGTCAGAGCTTCGCTCAGGTGGCCTCTGGCTTCCGGGTGCTCCGTCCTGTAACTGGGGAGGATGAAGGGAGGAGGGAGGTCAGTGCAGGGCCAGCCACGGCCGCGGCACACGCACACACACACACACACACACGCTCACTCGGGGTGAGAAGCAACAAGCAATGCTGGAAGCAGCCACATCATATCGCAAAGGAGCAGCGCTGCCCTGGCCGGGCGCAGAAGAGCCGTACCCACCGCGGGGACAGCTCTCTGCGCCCTGACTGGTTTGCCTTGAGCGATGCAATGCCCTCAACAGCAGCCCTTTTTAACCTGCAGGCACTGTCGCTCGGTGGTGACAGCTTCCTCTCATCTGTTGGTGAATCTTCTCCCCAGTCGTGCTGGATTAAGCACCATTCGTGCCATCCCAGGCACCGAGCTGCTAAGAACAGCTCTGTGCTTTCCTTGTCCTCCTGCTGCCAAACCTAATGCTCATTGCAGAAGGAAAGGAAATCCACTGCTGGAGTAAGAGACATGATGTTTTCATATGCTGTTTCGGGCACGACTTGTACAGGTTGCTTTGCTAATTGTTTCTGTAAGAGCATAAAGCTAGTCTCACTGTGTTTTAAATCATGACATCCAACATTGTCTTGTACAAATGTGTTTAAACGCAAAGCCTGAGGTCAATCCCCAGATGCCAAGTGTATTTGGCTGCAAGTTCAGAAGTTTCAACGCTTGCAATCTTTGCAGTGAGTCACACACACATCTAAAAATGGAAGCAGGAATCTACACTGTCTGGGGATGAGCCAGAGGGGAAAAAAAGAAAATGTAACTTCTACTTTCACTTAAAAGATTTGAGTTGCTTTCTGAGTTAGCTTATAACTGATTTACATTTTTGCTGCCTAAGTTAAATTCATGCTAAAGTGCCTGGTTAAAGCCAGATCCTTAAATCAACACAGGCTGAATGAACTCAGTGACATTTTAGTAAAGCAACACAATTTTCCAAGTTTGTCTTCCCACCAAGTCATATTCTGGAGAAAAGATATTCAGTGTGATAGTGGGAACTGCACGGTGGTTGCTTGTTTGCACTCAAATCATTTTACACAGGCCACGATAAGCTGCAAGAAGTATAGCTCCCTGGTTGGGCAGCAAGGGAGCCATGTTCTTTTCTTTTTTTCCCAGCTCTAGCACTGCTTATATGCCTGCTGGGCATTGTGTCAGCTCCAAGGATGCAAACATGCTTTTAGGATCTAATGACTGAAACACAGCATCTTAAGGTCACACGACAATGACAGACCACGGCACAAACACCACAGCTATTTCTTTTTCTTTTTTTTTTTTCTTCTCAGAAAGACCAAAAGTGATGAAAGAAGGGCAGGTAACACGCAGGGCCATGAACAGAGTACCAGTCATCACTCTTAACATTCCAAAGGAAACCTACACCATGCTGCTTAAATCTGGCCCTGTGTTATTGTTACTGACAAGCTTAATCCACTGCAAAGACTCATTCGGCTAGAGAGAAAAGACAAAGGGAGGGGGGAAAAACCACAGAGGAATTAGTAATTGCATCCAAGGAAAGCCAGGTCCAAACCTATGTCAAGGAAGAGGCTCTGCCAGTATTGATGTCAGCTTAATTTAATTTAACCTTCTCCTTTGGAGGACAGATTGCGTATATTTCAACAGGGAAAAAAATGATCCTGGAAGCTAAAGATTTTGTATGCAGCAGCCATGGGGAACCCTCTGACCCTATGAACTCATCAAGGATTACTCAGTCTTCCTTGAATAACGTGTGCACCAGGATCCCCTGTTAGCGACAAAGAGCTAGGGTATCAGTTTGGCGTAAGCACAGCTGGCAGTTACTACAAACTTACCTATTCTTCTCAATCTCAGTATCTGAAAATACTGAGTCTGCACCTCCTCCACCATTACAAACCTCCACACCACCACCATCCTCATCATCAAAGTCAGAGGTGTTCAGGAAATCAAAGCTTTCTAAAGCACTTTCAACTGTTAGACTTAAACTGGAGGACCTGCTTCGGCTTACTGCTGGCTTGCACTGCAAAGGCAGAACGAACCAATGAAAACCCCAGATATTAGCTACTACTGAAAGAAAAGAAAAAAAAAGGATAAAGCTTAAAACTTTCAAATTCTTCATTTTATTTTTTTAAACTTCATTTTATTGGGTGTTTCATTTCAAACCTTCATATTCATAGCACATACAATCAAAGCCTGAGAACTGGAAAACCCCTTCCACTCCCCCCTCCCCTCCCCATCCTACCCCCTCTTCTCCCCAAAGGAAAACCCTCAAAGGCAGAATTTGATGTGTTTTATAGAAATGAGAAGTACATCTTGAATCCAAGTGACTCAGCTTTCAGCATCCTCCAAGAGGAGAGACAGCAATTAACGCAGTGGAAGTTGAAAGGGGAAGGCATGTTCTGTAATTACTGTTCCAGCTACAGAAGCCAATTTATAGATATCCAATGGCACTGTGGGATTTATTCCAGATGTAACTCCAACAGACCTCAGTCAGGACTACATGTGGTCTCATATCTACAGATTTATTCGTGAGATGAGAGGACTTTTGTGGCCTTCGAAGCCACATGGCTTATCAAGGAAAAGCCAACCAAGCATCAGAGTTGACAGAGAAAGGCAGTATTGTGACTCAGAAATTAACAGTGCTAGAGAGAGGGGAGGCCATCCCATATCACTGCTGGGAAGAAATGCGACGGAAACCATGCTGTTGCTGTAGGAAGCATCAGAGGCTCTGGTCGCACGTGGTGACGCATCCAGATACTCCCACAGAGTTGATTCCACGGTCACCTTGCAGGAGCAGATGTGGCTTGAGGGATCACCTCCATTGGTTTATCCAATGTCTTCAACACCTTTAGCACTATGTGGTTATTTGATCAGAAACAGCCAGGAGCCTCCAGTGCTGTTACACGAGGCACATCTTCTAGGCAGGAGACAGGCCTTTGTCTCAGCTTGCAGAAAGAAATGCACTGGCCTCTGAGTTCAGCACCAGCTGCTCTACAGCTGAGGGGGCTTGGAGTTCTGTTTCCAAATTCATTTGCACACACTATTAATTTCATATTGGTCGTATTTTAGCACTTGTCTCCTTAAACTGACTCTACAGTCAGTAGCTGATCAAACACACTTCCCAACACCTCCATGACACAGGTGGGTGCTGTATCTTGATTCCTCTGCCAGCACGGATGGTTTTAGCTACCATTTCTTTCAGGACTGGTAGTGCAGCTTCTTCAGGCAAAAGCAAACAACAACATGCGGGCTTCTCCTTTTCTTTGCCCATCTAATATGGCCAAGAGAGATTTCTTCAGCTACAGCTGGATTCCAGCTCAGCCTTTTTTGCATGGGGAAGCCAGCATGGCTGCTGGCAATGCTGAGTGTCAGTCTGCAAGCTGATCAATAGGCAACACCCAGCCATAAGCAGACCTGGAAGAGGCATTCATCTCAAGTGTGCAGGAATCCTTTCTGCCTACATGTGTCCTCTCTCCCCCATCATATCCTTTGTAAATTCTGATAAAAGGAGTGTGAATAAACAGTCTTTGTTGTCCCTCTGCTGTCTGGATAGATGGCCTCTTCTTACAAGCTGCAGAGCAGCCAAAAAGTTAAAAAGTAATCGTAATGGTAGTAATAGTAACGGTAGCTTTGCCCGCTTGAACCTCCTTGGGAAACAGTGCGAAAACAAGGGGCTACAGGCTGTCAAAAAAGCACTTAACTTGGGAAAGTACCATGCAGCTGCAAACACCAATGGAAACAAGGATGTTAACAAAGCTTTTGTGTAAAGATGATTCTGAAGGACAAATGCTTCTCTCCTTCCTCCTCTGCCATGTTTTTGAATGATGAGGCTTAAGTGATTAGCAGACCAACTTGCATATGAATATGAAGCATTTGAAATGATTATTTCCCATATAATACTCTTTACACAGTAATGCCTCATGAGTTGTTATTCATGGGAGAGATACCAGTCACAGTGATCAGCAGTAAAGGTATTAACAACACACATGCAAAACCTTTTTCTTTCTAATTTTCAACACTTTCTGTCCATCCTGGTGTAATGACAGGACGTGTCTCATTTTAAAAATGGATGGGGGAAAGAGGAAAAGGCTTGGAGGAAGCCTAGGCAATGTGGGGATGGCAACCTTTAGCAGGACTTGTGCACCTAAATCCCTTTGGCAATTTAGAAAACTCAGATTCTATAGCTACAAGGTCTGGTCCTCAGCTGGTATAGTTTTGCACAGCTCCACAGAGCACACCTCTTGAGGATGTGACCCATAGATTTAAAAGGCAGAAGACTGGCTATAATCTGATCTCCAGTATGGCACAAGCCATGGATTCAAAAGTAGTTTCTCCAGAGAAGGATATGATTTAACTACCGCTCTGCCATTGCACCTTTTTCTTTTTCCCCCAGGTTTTGAGCAAATCAAAAGGTCCATTGCTTGAGGATACAAGTCTACAGTAAGCACATTGACCACAGAAGTTTAAAAATTAAACACTGTGAAAGGATGCTCCAAGCAGGAGCAAATCTACAGCTACTGAGGAATTTTACTTATCTCCGAAAGCCCTACTTGGATGTTTGCAAGGCAGGGGAGGAGATTCTACCCGCTCAGATTTTCTTTAGGGTAGTATTTTCTGAAAATGTACTCACTTTTAGGATGTCATCTAGATGCATCACTTCTTGGTCCAGGTCCTGAAACTCTTTATACTGCTCTTTATGTGGCTCAAGAGCTAAGAGAAGCCCTTGCAAGGCTTCTTCAATGCTCCCATCCAGATAAGACTTGTATCCTTCTGATTCCCCACTAATCGACCCCTCGCACAGCAGCCTCTCTGGGGTCATGGGTGCCTCAGCTGATGTAAGCCTTTTTACCAGCTGCTTTGTGATGTTGCCCTCATAGGTATCCAGCTCCACAGGCTTGAGCTCTGAACCTTCATCCGTGTCCTGCAGGAGAGACACTGGGACACTTGTTTCTATGAAGACACGATCGCTCCCAGCGTCAGAGGTCTTTCGGTAAACTTCAGGAGCTGCCCCTGGGGTGGTCTTGTTCTCAATCACTGCCCCCTCTCCCTGGGATGGCAGGTCCTTCGGCTCAGCGACAGAGTCCCTGCGGGAGTCACTGCTGCTACAGTCCAGGCTCGAGCTCTTGGAGGAGTCGAGAGCTCGGTGCTGGGTGGGGGTCGCAGTGATGTCGGGGCTGGAGCTGACGTGAGCAGAAGAGGGCTCTGCTGAGTTGGCAGGGGGCACGCGCTCTTCGTAAGGCAGGTCGCCAAAAGTGAAAGAAAGAGGCCGCTTCTCGGTGGTCGCCGTTCCATTTTCGAAGACATCATCTGGCAAATTCGACTGAAAAGGTAATAAAAACGGAGAGAAAATGTCTTTCATGAAGCACTGGAAAGAGGGAAAAAAATACACTATGTGCCTGGGAAATAAAAATGTAAGGAAAAGGAATAAAGAAGCATTCGAGACTCGAGAGATGGGAAGAACGTTTCAAATCCAACTTCTGCTTTCATCTGGCACTGCTCCTGATTTCAGCAGCAAAACTGCTGTGACACTTGAGGTCAGCATCTCTCAGGTAAGCTGAGAGCTCTAGGAAACACATCCCAGAACAGAGGGACTTGCTTCTTGTCCTACCAGATTCCCTGAGACAGCATCTCCAGTGCACTGCTCCAGTTCTTGCAGCACGTCTCTTTTTAATGGGGTTGTACTGAAGCCATCCTGTCTGCATTTTCCTAGCCATTATAGATTTCTGTTGTATTTATTTTCTGACTAGTATTTTTAGCAGCAATCCCTAAAATTTAATACTGTTTGCTCCAAAAGTTTCTCTAGTATCGTGGCATTTAAATTGTTGATATTATTACGCTATATCTTTTTTGTTGAAATTCTGTTCTGCATGTGGCATGGATATCTCTCCTAATTGTTGAGCGTGAGTTACATAAAAGTCCTGTTCAACAGGAGTTTCTGCCAAAATGAAACAGAAGAGTTGCATGGTGATGTATTGACCAGGCCATTGTTCATTCAGGAAGCAAAACCAGCATATGCAGACCCAAAAGTGATCACAGCATATACATATGTTCATGTCTCTGACAGACGTATGGAGAAAAATCACTACAGGAGTCACGACCTGCCTATCTATCTGACCTATAGATCTTGCTCTATTTCGTGTCCAGCTCACAGAAATGCACAGCACAGATGAAAGGCAACTACTATTTTGCTGACGATTTGCTGGGAAGAACCTTAGGCATGCACATGTTGGTAAGGTGCATAAGGCTAAAAGTGCCAAAAACTTGCATTTTTTTTCCTCAGCGCTACTAGCAATCTTTTTTTTCTCCCTAAATATAATTATACTCAAAGGCTTATTTCTTCTTTTCCTCAATATGGGCATGCTTTTAGCATCTGAAAGTCATGTTACTAGGCAAATGTCTGACATCAGTCAGTGCAGTGGGTGATTTTTAGAGAATGCTGTTAGCTTGTATTCCTGCCCTGCTCTCTGCCCACAGACAGTTGGCTTCTGATCATTATCGCTGTAGAAACCAAGAGGAATTTTGATTTAATGTGAGCAGCATGGGCTCACAGTCATGTTCTCCCCTCTAATCAGTCAGCAAAATGAGTGAGTTGCAACAGAGAGCAACACATGGAGCATGTGGAGGAGTGGAGATGCCACACAGGGACCGACAAAAACCTTCACCAAACATAAACGAGGACTCACATATAGCTCTAGCTTTGGGCTTAGCCTGAGCGATGGCAGGTCACTAAAAGAGCGACTGCGACGAAGCTTGTCAAAGAAAGTGTCTTGCAGAGCATCTAAGATTGCCAACTTTGGCCTGTCTTGCAGGGGATGCAGCCATTTCTTCAACAGTTAAAGCAAAGAGGGTGTGAGGAAGGGCAAGTTAAATGAATGCTTTGTAGCAGAGTCCTAGATTACAGGCATGGGGTGCAGCACTTGTAAAATTCATATCTGTACAGATGGCCTATTCACTTCATACCCAGTCCTGATTAAGCATTCAGGATTTGATTCACGCAAAAATGTGGGAGCACCCTGTGAATATCTTCGGTACAGGAACAAATTTTATCATGGGATACATTAAAAATTCTAGTGCTATAATGGTTGTTTAACTACTGTTACAGAATGAAGACACATTTTTAAAAGCTGATTCAAGTTTTCTAGCAGTCAGGCAAGAATAGGTATACAACAATTTGCCACATAGTTTGAAAGATGCCAAGATCACAGCCACCTCCTTTCAGGATTAGCAGCTAGGAATGCACTTGCATTGTAAGTATTTGTAAGGGTAACCTGCTGCAACCAGGGGAAAAAAGCTTAGATGTGTAAAGCAATGAAGTATTTGCAGTACTTGAACTGCTCTAGGGCTTCTCATTACATAAACATGAAGCTAAACGGAGCTTACAAAGAATGAGTGGTCCTTGAAGGTTGGTGTTTCAGGAGTGCCTTGGCTGTACATGGACATTCTCCTCTGGAGAGCAGATGCCTTGCTCACATTTCCTGCGGTTGGGGTCAAGTCTTCAACATCAAAGGGGCTATGGACACACAAGCAGGGAAAAACAAAAGGTTGCTAGGTTGAGAGAGAAGGAAGTTCATGTCCACAGAAAGGATGTTTGAAAAGGTGGTTTATTAGCACATCAAAACCCAGAGGTAGCAAGTTTCTTTTAACAGAAGTGTTTAAAAGAAAATGTTGTTAATTAGACAGCAGGCTCACAAGTGTAGTTTTCAGTTCTGGTAAGCGTTCTACTCTCAGAAATCACTTACGTAGCATAGTTATTCTTCTCACATGAAAAGTATTCTTGGATTTGAGTTGCCAGCTGCCACACATACTAATGAGAAAGGTGCTCTACCATTAATAGAGCTGTTGCATTATAAAGGAAACCAGTAGCTGTTATTGCTGACTTCATGTTTATTGCATTAGAAGAAACAGCATACGTGACTGTAAAAGTTAAATACATCAATGCTTCTTCATTTACCTATTTCACTAAAATGCAGTGAGAATTAGGTTTGAATCCTAACACCATCCGTGTACCTGTGCTGACCAATGCAGACAAATGGCAATGGTACATTTCCTACCACCCTCATGGTGAATGAAGCCCTTAAAAGCCAGCTTTTAAAGATGGGCCAACTTCTGAACTTGGCTAGGCTAGCAAAAATCCAGGGCAACTCTACTGAACTTTACAGTAATATTAAAAAAATAAAACAAATAGATGAGCACTCAGTTATGTCCCTTTTTTGAACTTAGGGAAGAATTATAGACTTAGGCAATTCTATGATCTCTCATCACTGTTTCACATGTCTTTCAATGTCAGTACTTACGAAACCTAATTTAATAGCTGAAACGAGGCACAAAACCCTTTTGCCACAGGTAACACAAGGAATCTATAGGTGGCCGTGAACTATTTCTCATCACCCAAACTTGGGCCACGATTCCTTCCTAGCAGGAAGCAAAATAAAGAGAAGAGACCACGTGGATGGACCTTTTCTCTTTCATTGAATTTTTACAGTTGCTTGACCAACCAACCAACCAGTTGTACTTACTACCAGGTGATTTCAAGGTTCAGCTTTATTGTGCCAAGGTCGTTAATGTCTACTGCAACCACCTGAGGCCGAGCTGCAAACAGGTCTTTCGTCTCACAGGTAACACTTCCCACAAGGATGTGAGTAGCAAGTCCTTTAACTTCTGTGACCTGTAAGAGACCAGAACAGGACATAGAATCACAGAATGGTTTGAGTTGGAAGGGATCTTTAAAGGTCATCCAGTTTCAAACACCCTGCCATGGGCAGGGACAACTTCCACTAGACCAGGTTGATCAAAGCCCCATCCAACCTGGCCTTGAACACTTCCAGGGATGGGGCAGTCACAGCTTCTCTGGGCAATCTGTGCCAGTATCTCACCACCCTCACAGTGGGTGGAGCAGTGGTGGAAAGACCTATGTATTTCTCCAGATCAGCAGATGCCGCTTTCTTATCTGAGCAGTATTAACAAACTCACCAGTAATGGGATTTTTTGTATTTTTTTGTTGTTGGTTTTCCTGAATGCTGTTAGTAAACAGGTTTCCAATGTTCCCTTGCTTTGATGCAACTAATCTGGGTTGCTGAAGAGTGATGTGAGGCAAGGGTCATGTTAGTGAGGCTTACGGGCAGAGTTAAGACAACGTCTCCACAGGACTCCCAAACTGATAAGTCTTGTAGCATCTAGGATGGACAATACTATAGTACTTCACTCTACCAGGTATGTTGAAAATACTAATGACAGCTCATTTCTGAAGAGTTTAATGATGTGCTTCTGTGGGTTTGCTGATAGTGCTTGAGAAGGCAGCTTCATGACTCCTGCCTTGCTTGCAGGCAAAGGAGTCAGCATGTGTACCTTAATGGAAATCAGTCCAACAATGAGAGGGAGGAAAACCATTTCTTCCCCATCCCAGCTTTGCTTGCCATTCACTTCTATTTTGCCTTTCAGTTTCCAACGCTGGCGACCGTAACGCATGAAAATCTGAAAAAGAGAAATCCTCTTATTTTCTTGAGAAATCTGCTCTCATGACGCACAAATATAAGCAGAATTAGGGGAAAGGGTCTGTAAAAGGTTGGAAGAGTTAGTGGTTAGATACTGCCCTTCTGCTTCCCATTAAGCCAGAAGGAAGAAGTCTATCCTGCAAGATCTCTGCCTCTCAGCTCTCCTAAACACTTTTGGTAATGTACCTCTTGCCCTAGCTTTTACCTTTGTGTAACTAGATGACAACAAAGAAGCTGCAGGAGTTTTAACTCTATTTACAGGAAAGCAGCAATGATGGGGGCAAGATGAAAGACCCCATGATGTTTCCTAATATCCACAGCTTGCTGGATCTGCTGCCTTCCCAGGCAGTGGAGAGGGTAGATGAGCTTTTAGCCATCCCCCATCAGAGGCCTCCCCAGCTGTGAGACTTTGGCTGCCTGGTGATGGAAATGACAATGCAGTAACACAATTTGAAGTGATAAAAGCAGCAAGCCCATTTTGGGCTGCGGGGCTGGCTAGGAGAGACCTGTACCAACTAATTGGCCTCACAGGGGAAGCGCACGCTTGCAGGCGTGAAAGCATCAGGAGGCATTTCTCACAGGGAATGAGAGTGGGAACAAATGAATCAATGATCAAGACATCTGGGAAGTACAGGCTGGGGAGATCCATTACCAAGCTGCTGTGGATTTCTTGCAGGGTTAGCTCTGTTCTGGATAGAGCTGGAGCCTTTTACTTAATATTAATTAACCTGCTGATGATATTCTCCACTGGAATGTTGCAGTGACCAGAGATCCTGACACAGCTTCACAGCAGGTAACATCTGGGTCTCAGGAAATGGTTATTCTGTATCTTTCTGCTACTCCGCTTTATGACAAAGTAAAGGATGCTTGCAAGGATGTGTTCAATTTACTCTATGTGCATGGGATGGGACATGCTTTTTTCCAGGGGAATTAGAAAAGTTTGTTATAAACAAGATTTTTAAAAGTTAAAAAGAAAAAAGAAAGCTCCATGTCCTTCTAATCTAGTGCTCTGACTATAATTTTCAGGTCTTCTGACAAATACCTTGGCAAAGGCAGACATAAAGAGAACTACAAGGTTTTTCAGAGCATATACAGGAAAAATAATTGCTGCTTCTTGGGGTGCTGATGTGAAAAGGTTTTATTCACTGTGATGTAAAAAGCAGCAGCAAGCTGCATTCTTTCTGATTCTTTTGCTACTAAATAAACTGTAAACCAATGCAAACATACCTCATATTGATCTCCTGGGCAGAGCCGAGCGAAGCCAGCCAGACCTGAGAAGGAAAGACACGAGGGGCTATGGGAGAGCCTGGGCTGTGAGCCCAGTGGTGTCCAGCAGTGGGGTGCCTGAGGCCATTGCTGCTGTGCTTGGACAGGAGAGGGTGGCAGCACCCCACAGCCCACCCATCCGCTTGCTAGGAGGTGACTTTAACCCCCCTGTTTTCTGCCTCCCTTCCCCCCGTCTTAATTTTCTTTGCATATTTTTGGTACAAAATTAATTGGTTGGGGCTTCCTGCATAAGAAAGATTTGCACTTCCCATCTGTTTTTCCTAAAGAGCTCAAAGTTTCCTTTTATATAATAATTGTAGAGAAAGAAGAAACAGCTTCCTGACATCATTTGGCTTCAGAAGCTCAGCTTAACACCCTTGCTATCATGTGGTGTAGGTGAGCTGCTGAATACCATGTAGTGCTTGCTGATCAACGCTAATCAGACCGAGCTGTACATTTTAACACAGATTCCCTTTTAATACATCTTAATAGAGACACAGCAAATGAGACAGGCTCCTTCTGCTTGGCATTTCCTTAACGTTATCATTCCTGTACTAGCTGAGTATCTTTCAATAGTAAATACATCACAAAAAGTGACTGACAACTTGAGATTTATCTCATCTTTCCCCAGAGGGGGAGTAGTAGAGCAAAGCACTAATGCTTGCTTGGTCTTTTTAATAATTTTTTCAAGGTAGGACATGATGATGCTATTTCTATACTGGCACTGTGCATATGAAGTGAAAGTTTCCTGAGGGACCCTGCTGAAATCCCAGGGAAATTACTGTTCCTCTCCTAGCCTTGCCACCTGCTCTTCTACAGGATTGAACTGGTTGTTTTTTCCTTCAGAGGGAACCTCTCCTTTCCCACAGATCTCCTCAGTAGGTACCTGATGCACTTGCTCTGGTATAGAAATTTACCCAGCTTTGCCTGGGTAAGCCTAAAACTATGCCTCTAGTGTTGCAATGCCCAAAGAAACCATCTTGAGGAGACATACAAAGCCTGTGGCAGAGAAAAGAATGAAACCAAAATTGCAGGGGTATTCAGGCTGCATTTGTCTTGAAATGCCATGACTGGACATATAGAGGTGTGTATATAAGTCAAAGCACAAGTATGATGAGCCCTAGTATGATGAGCCTGTCGGGCTGAATTAGTCCCAATCTCTGACTGCAGCCATGGCCTGTCCCTGTGATCTGCTGATCCTCCTCTCCCATTTCTTTGAACAGAAAAGAGTTTTCTTTGCTCATCTTACTGTCTAGCCCTTACAGAGGGGCCCTTGCACAGCACTCATATTACCAATTCCTTCCTAGTTTATTTACTGTTTATAAATAATTCAAGCTTACTAGCACTTCACTGCTGCTGCTTTCTCCCCAGGCACGCTTTTGTAAGTGAATTTGATCTCTGCTGGGATACATCACTGAAAGTATCTCAGGAAGATAAAAGGTCTTTTTTTTGTTCAGCAGATGGGGTTGGAGGGTGGGTAAACACAGCTTATAATTCCACAGGGATGTTGTCCGGAGTTTAGGTCTGTGACTGGTGACTGGCCCAACCAGGCTGGTCAAGTCTCTTTAGCCTGATGAAGAGGGGGCTAAGAGCTGACTTGATTACAGGGGATAAGTACCTTCCTAGGAAACAACTTTTTGGTAACTGACTGGCTTTTGGGGACTAAACACATGACAAGAGCCAATGGCTACTATACAAGCACTGTGCTTGTAATGCAGATGGAATGGGAGATTGCTCCTGGGGTGTCAGCATAAGTGATTAGGGAATAGGGTCCTTACTTGGCCGTGGTAAGGTGGCAGGACCACCTGAAGCTCATGCAGCCTGTACAGCCCTGCCCATGTGCAGGATGCTGGACATGTGAACACGTGGACTGTGGCTGCTGGTGCTGGGCTCCGTGCTGCAGAGCCCCTGGTGCATTCAGTGTATTGCCCTCCCTGTGTGAGACAGCTGGGCTTTCCACGTCCTGGTGAAAACAAGTATAGGGACACTTCCCTATACATCATAACAGGACACACTGATTCCATACAAGAACTTCTAAGTTTCCATTGTTTAATTTCAGCACCTGATTAATCCCTGAGCAGTAATCTAAGCCTACTGACAAGTCTATCATCTTTATTTTGATAAATAATTAGGCTTTTTTTGTTTTGTTTTGTTTTTTTTTAATATCAGTGATAAAAACGCAATGTGGGTCCCCTGCTTCCTGACAGCACTGTGTAGGTTGGCTTGCTTTCAGTGTAAGTGACAGAGGGCACAAAATAAAAATAACTTTCACTGGAATGGCTAGGAACAGATAAGCTTTGGGGAGAGGAATGCTTTGATTTTAAATTAGATCCTAAAGTTAGCTGGATATGCTGCAGTATAACTTAAGGGAGGAGCTTGCTCTGTGATCTGCAGGCTTTTGTGCTAGAGCTGTTGTCAGCTTTAGCAATAGCAATGGCTGGATTGTCCTATTGTATTCACGTTCCTAGGGAAAACTATCTAAGTAGAAATCTTAGATGTCCTAATTAAAGAATACTTAACGATACAGCTCTTTGCTATTTTCTAATTTGGGCTTCTTTATGTTATGAGAACTGTGTTCAGAGGTAGCTGTTGTTCGTGGTTTGTGCTCAGCTCTCACATGAGTGCAGCACCTGACTTCTCAAGAGCCCATGAGCTTGCTGGAGGGTTTGGACATAGAAAAGAGAAGGGGCCAGACCTTTTTCAGCACAGCCATTTGTGACACACTGACATCTTCTGCAACATGTCCTGCTGTCAGGAACTGTGCACTGCACTGCATTTATAGCAAGTAAAGGAACACTTCGAGGGACCTGGCATGATGCAGTTCCCTTTCTACACTATGTGACCTCATGTTCCCTTCAGCATGTTCATGCTGTGATTCTGCTGTGGGTTTTTGTATAGCAATATCTGGCTTGGTCTCTCTATGTTCATCTTGTCACTTTACATCTATGCATCTTTGACTGCCTCTCCAGTACTGAAAAGTGGGGGCTTTAAAACCTGAGTTTGGATGCTGTGGGATGGAGCTAGGAGAAGTCTAACAGCTGCTGCACTTGGTTTCTCTCATATGTGAGCACAGAGTAACTATTTTAACTTAATCTAAGCTAGATCATGTCAGTGCAACCACAAGAAACAACTAACTCGATTGTGACAAGGCAGGCAGAATCAAAACCCTGTATGAGATTTGTAAGCTCTAAAAAATCCACCAGCAGATTTTTTAAATGGCAAGATTTCAAGTGAAGAATTAAGAGTGCATGAGCATTTAGATGCTGATTTTGTTTCGTAGAACTATTTTCAGGCCAGTGATTGAAGATCCAAAAAAAGATATCCCACCACAATCTCTTCTTTAAGAGTCTTAAAGAGATAACAGGATTAGCAATACCCAGCGATTCACTGATGCTTCAAGTAAAACTGATTCCATTGTATTCAAACCCATAAAGTACCCTGTCACAAACACAAGGAGGAAAATGGAGTTATCTAGGTGTTTAAATGGTAAACTACCGAGCTCTTCGCTTTCTTATTCTTGTTCAAAAATAGCAGTAATTAGAATCAGCAAAAGTAAAGGACTTAGAAACATCTGATGTCAAATTAAGGAAGTATTTTGAACTTCACCTCCGCGGGCATTCACATAATTTCCCAGTCATCTTCTTAAAGGATTATGAAAAGGCAAAAGGTACAGCAGCCTTCGAAACTGAATTGCTTTGGCTGTTGAGAGGAGTGTTTGAGGGAGTTAATTAGCTTTGAAAACAAGAAGCAGCATCTCAGCTTTGATGTTGCTGGCTCTGTGATCCTTGCCAGTGGGCAGGGGTGTAAGCTGGGGGCTTGAGGGCTCAGCGATGCCTGTGGTGGGGGGAAAACCACACCTATCATAAATGCACATCACACCAGCGTGTCTCGATGCCCTCGCTAGCATGCACAGCGACTGCTACTATTTTGGAGAAAGAAGGGAAAGGTGAAAAGGCAATTACCTTTCATCTTGATGCAAAACTCCCCCAATAGGTTTTCCAGCTCTGCTTCTATGGTACACATGTTCTGTGTTGGAAAAGAGAACAGTGAGGTCAGACAAACCCTCTTTCTGCCTTTCTTTTCTTTTTTTTTTTAAGGTGCATTTGGAAGGGAAGATTCTGCTATGCAGATGGAAGCTGTGCTGCAATAAAATCAGTCTGCCAGAGCCATCCTTGCTCTTTAGCTAGGTCTGACCCTAAAAATGGCAGCTGAGCTACGCCTGCTCCCGCCGAAGTTGAATGTAACCCCGAGCTCTTCTTCTGTTGCAATCTAATCCTCCTGTTGGCACAGGGCAGTTGTGGCCCTTGAAGCGTAACCTGGTCACTCTCCCATTCCCCTCCAGCCAGGACATGTGCCAGCAGCAACTCTATGCCAAAGTGGCTCACAGCATGATTTAGTCTCTCAAGAAACATGGACTACATTAAGAAAAAAAGACTGTGTGAGACATTATCAGACCCAATCCAGTTCTTCCGTCAGATTTAGGAAGGTTGTTACAGCTTGTGTGCAGGGATGTTTGCAATACTGTTAGACCCTTGTTCATATACTGCCTGTTTAATAAAATAGATGTGGATCACAGTAAGTAAAATAGGATTGGGTGCAGCAGATGTCTGTATAAATGTGGGTTCCAGCCAACCTGCTATCCCAAAATCTGCAGTGGTTGGAGTATAATTAGGCTCAGGGCATATTTATGCTTTTTTTCTTGTGCAGCAGTTCCCGGGTATAACCCTGCTCTCATAGAGCATAAACATTATTATTTCACGGAACTTGCTGGGCCCATGTAATCTCGCTTTCTAAGTCACCAGGTCTTCCTCTAAAGACAAATAAATAATAAATAAATAAATTCTTCTTTGCTGAGTTTGCTGTTAATTTTTTTATCTGGATGAAATTCTCCCTGAAACCAGTGGCAAAGTTCCCATGGCCTTCAAACAGCGTGAGGGCAAAGAGTAAACTGATGGGGATGTACCTCTGTGTACTCCTTGTAACTCCTGTTGATTTCAGTTAAACTCTCCCGAGCTGCTTTGCTGGCAGGAGACATTGCAAAGGCTTGCTTCATTTTGCTGGCACCATCACAGAGACGTCTTTGGATACAATAAGCTTCATAAAGCTCATCCACCTAGTGGGAA